CAGCGGCGGCCCCCCCCCGGCTTCGCCCCCCGAGGAGCCACTCGGGGCGGGGTGGAGGGAGCAGCCCCTGCCCCGGGGCGCTGTGCTGCGCTGCTGCCCCGCTCTGGGCTGCCAGGTGCAGTGTGGTGCTCTGGCCAAGAGGCCAGCCTGGGCTAGGGGCACCTGAGGCCCCTTCCACCCTCCGTTTTCCATGGGCCCTCGCTTCCTTTGGGCCTTATAAAACCATGAAGCAAAGTGAGCAGAGGCCCAGCCCCTGTCCCCACAGCTCGTGTTCCTCCTCACAGTGCTTCCTCCACCCACAAAGCTGCAGGGACCTAGACAAGAGCCAGTGCCCAGAGAAAAGGCAGAAGATGCAGGTGCAGAGCTGGGCCAGGGAAGGGGGAGCCAGAGGCCACTCTGCAACTGCCCAGCCACGCCGCCCCAGGGCTCCAGCAGCAGGGCTGGGGGGGGGCGCTGATGCCCAGAGGACACAAGGCTGGGCAAGGTCTGGTCCCTGACCGTAGGAGAGGAAGTGCCACTGACCATGCCCTCAGCCCCACTCCCAGCTGGGACGCCCTGCAGCCGCGGGGCGGAGAAGAGCCACAAGCGCTTAGAGCTAGAGCTTTTCCTGAAAGAGAGAAGGGAGCGCCTGCAGGAGGGGCAGCAGCAGCCGAGGCCCCTCAGTTCTTCTTGCTGCCGGGGTGCCTGTTGCTGAACAGGCTGACTTTGCTGGCAGAGGCCGTGGAGACGGACGGAGACTCCAGCTTCACCTTATCCAGCAGGGTCTTCTTGATGGCTGCTGGGGAGATCTTCTCCTGATCTGCCAGGTACTGCAGCTCCCTGCGGGAGACAGCATCCATCACATCACATCACTCATGGGAGGAAAGGAGTGAGGAATGGCAGCGCCGAGCAGGGCCCAGGCTGGGGGCACCCATGCTCACCGTGTCCGGATGCAGGAGGCCTCCACAGCGTTGATGAGGAGCGAGCGGAAGCCCCCGCTTTCCAGGAAGTGCAGAGCGTGGATGGTGGCCCCCCCTGGCGAGCACACGTTGTCCTTCAGCTGCCCAGGGTGCTGCTCCGACTCCAGCAGCATTTTGGCTGCGCCCTTTGGTGTCAGAGGGGAAACACAGTCAGCATCCAACTGAGGGACCTGCTGCCCACCCTGCACAAGCAATGCCTGGACAGCTGCTCTGAGCCAGCCTGGGCCCTCTCCTCATGGGCACTGGCCAGGCCATCACAAACCCAGTTTAGAGGTAAACCTCCCCGGCTCACCCAACCTGCCACAGAGCCAACAGCCCCAGCAGGAACCTCAGGGACCCTCCACACACCAGGTGTCCCCAAGCCAACTCTGACCAGGCAGCGTCCTGCAGTGAGACGTGCTGGGTGTGAGTTCAGTCAACCCCGGCTTTGCTCGGTGCAGGCGAGCATGAACTGAGCGATTTCGAGGGGCAGCTACTGACCAGCAGGGCCTGGGCTCCGAGCCGGACAGCCAGCCGGCGGGGAAGTCCCATCTTCACGCCTCCGTCTGCCAGAGCGTCCAGAGCTGTGAATGCCTGGGACCGGGAATGGCAGGAAGACGAACTTCAGGTTGGAAGAATGGCCGGTCCCCCAAAGGCTCTGTCACCCCCAGGAGGAGGGATGGAGCCAAGTCCCAGGGCCACTCTGGACTCCCTAACACCTATGGGGACTTGGGAACCTGGTCCCTGCTCAGTGCCCCTCAAGCAGATGATGCCCCCAGAATAGACAGCTCTGGGAGCTTCCTCCTCCCCCATGAGGTGGGCACCAAGCCACGCTTCCCTGCCACAAGGATGCTTCTATCTGGGGGCAGAGGAGTTGAGCCCCATGGCCACTCCAGTCTCAGCACCAGACCCAACCACGAGGTTAACTGGGCTGCTTGTCAATGATCTTGAGCCGCTTTGGCGATGCAGACGCTCCTGCACCAGGAACTGGGAAGAGACCTCAACCTGTTCCTGAACCTGAACCCTGTCACAAGGGCGGACAGTCAGAAATTCAGGCCTTTGCTCTGTCAGCTTTGCAGCCTTGTCGGACACTTTCTTATTGCTGTAGGCACGTTCCCTGCATCGAACATCCGTTACTCCCCCCTTGACTTCTACAAACCACAGGAGTGGCACCTACGTAAGCAGGGCCACTGCCGCTGAGCCCCGTGACGGCATCGATCAGGTCCTCTTCCACCTCCGTGCAGAAGCCCACGCTGGCCATCAACTGTTCCAAGAGCTTCCCGTCCTCCACCTCAGCATGGGTCCCGGTGGCATAGACTGTGGCACCCTCCCGCACGATCACAGGGGTATTGGTCATGCACCTGATCACTTTTGGGGTGGGACAGAAGGTAGAGAGTTTCTTGGGGTGGGAAGGGTTGGACACAGAGGGGAGGAGAAAGAGACATGGACAGATTGAACATACACTCTGCATGTGAAGTTTCCCCCAGAAACTCCTGGGGGGCAGAGGGAGTCCAAGGGGGCAGTGGAAGGGAATTCCCCATCCACCTCCCCCAACTGCCATGCGTGCAAACCCCTGCAGGAGGGCTGTCAGGGAACCCTTGCTGCAGAGGACGTGCCCCTCTGGCAGCGTCCCCGGGGAGGCAGCTGGGCAGAGCCTGCCTGTGCTGCAATCCCGGCAGCATTCTGCAGTGCCCCCAATCCCCCGGGAAGCAGTTCCCGTGACCCTCACACCTAGGCTGCTTCCCAGAGGCGGTACAAGACTCCAGGAGACCAGAGGGTCTGACCACCCGCTGGCATAGGTGTGCACCTGACATGACGCCAGAGGGCTCTGATCTCTGGCTAGTCTAAGCTTCCAGGTGGTCCCGCATGGACCACAGGACCAGAGCCCGCAGCAGGGACAGCTTTAGCCCATCCAGCAGGTGCAAGTCTGGCTCTGAACACACTTTGTCCTGTAGAAGTTGGCTGCAGCCGAGGCTTGGACTAACAGGGACGCGTGGCTGCTGCTAATGCTGGTAACGGAAACGGGTCCCAGCACCTGGAGGACAAGCCCGGCCCAAGGCCGGCACCCCCATAGTTGGAGCCCTCCGGGAAAAGCGTCCCAAGGCTGTGGCGCCCCAAGCTGGAGCAGTGCGAGGCAGCAGTAAGCACGGGTCAGGGGACAGGCTATCCCTACCCCTCCTGCTGCGTGGCGGAGCTGGGGGCACGCTACACCCACCTTCTCGATGGAGCTGATCGTGACTCCAGCCGCGCAGGAGACCACGATGTGGCGGTGCTCTATGTCCGGGCCGATCTCGTCCAGGATGAAGGGGATGATGGGGGGTTTCACTGCCAGGAAGAGAACGTCGCTGCTCTTAACCGTCTCCTTGTTACTCGGCGTGAAGTTCACCCCCATTTTCTGGAATATTTGGAAAGGAAACAGCACCTGCGTTTGCTTTACTCGCTGCGTGGGTGGGGTGGCAAGTGACCCCCGGCCCCTGGCCCGCAGCGTCCGAGCGAGCGCTGACCCTGCGCGCCGCACTTCGCCCCCGGGGCAGGAGCCGCTCGGCTCCGCTCGCCCCCCCCCCGCCCGGGGCGGCGC